TATTTCAAAATAGATAGGCAAAAATGCATATTCAAATTTAAAACAAACATGAAAACACATGTTTACACAAAAATGTGTTTAGAAATATTCATTTCAGCATTACCTATAATAGCCAAAAAATGAAATCAATCAAGCATTCATCAGTTGGAGTGGATAAACAAAATGCTGTATATCCATATGATGTAATGTTATTGGGCAACAAAAAGGAAGTAAGTGTTGATCCATACTACAACGTAGATGAACCTTGCAAACAGTATGCTCAGTGAAAGCAATCAGTCGCAAAAGACCACTTGTTGTATGATTCCATTTACCTGAAATGTCCAGAAGAAGATTCACAGAGACAGAAAATAGATTCATTGTTGCCAGGGTTTGAGGTGGGGGGGGGAATGGGAAGTAACTGCTAATACACCTGTGGTTTCTTTGGGGCTGATGAGAATGTTCTAATCGTGATTGCGGTGCTGGTTGCACAACTCTGTAAATGTACCAAAAACCACTGACAGGTAAATTTTATAGTATGTGAAATATATCTCAATACAACTTAAAAAAAATGTCACTTACACACATAAAGTCATAAAGTTTGCTGGCTACAGAGGCAGACTGAAAAGAGAGGAACTTAGAAAGTCTTACTAAAGAACGAAGAGCCCCTACAGAAGCAATTCTACCAAGTGTCCCAGTTTCCCTTCTGTCTGCTGGGTTTTGTCTCTCACTCTAGGTCCCTGCAGCACAGGAAGCAAAATAATGCAAAGAATTAAAGAGCCGGCTCTGCAGCCAGACTGCCTGGATTTTTTTTTTTTTTTTAAGATTTTATTTATGTATTTGAGAGAGAGAGAGACCAAGAGAGAGAGGGAGTGAGCATGAGCAGGGGGAGGGGCAGAGGGAGAAGCAAACTCCCTGCTAAGCAGGGAGCCAGACTTGGGGCTCGATCCCAGGACCCTGGGATCATGAGTCGAGCTGAAGGCAGACACTTAAGTGACTGAGCCACCCAGATTGCCTGTGTGTGAAGCCAAATCATAGTTAGGCATAACCTATGGTTAGGCAAATTAGCCGCTCATGCTCGGTTATCAAATGGGGATGCTTGACTGGGTTGTTGTAAGGAATAGAAGACATAATCCATGAAAAGTGGTTTTAAAAGTGTCACTTACTGGAATTCATGAGAAGTTGACCATGTTTTTTAACAGGTCTCCCAACAGGAGACTTCTTTCTTGAAAAGGCTCCAATCCATTTCATCCTCCCATTTCTCTGATGTCCTTTCCCATATTATATGCCATCGCCAACTAATCAGATGCAAGCTTGATATAATCCTGACCAGCCAGTCCTATGGTTCACAGAGGCTACCCCCACTCTCTGATTGTCATTTTCTGTGCTCTGTGTTTCCCTATCATCTGCCCATTGCAAGAACTATAGAATATGACTCAGAGAATGTTGTTTTCAAAGGCCAAGATCATTGCTGTTATTTCTTCACGCTGTTACATATTCATCCCAAACTTTACAAGCATCATGGTTTCCTGTCACCCTGCAGTCAGGACAAGCAGATGGGAGCCTCATTATGAAAATTGATGGTCATTTCATGCTAACAATGTGACAGCCACTGTCCATGATTGTTTCATTTCATCTTCACACAATCTACATCTTATAGACTCTTATCTTCTTTGTCACATGAGGACAGTGATGACCAGGAAAGTTAATTTGTCAAGGCCGCACAGGTTCTAAGGGATGGAATGAAGATTCTAATCAGACTCTCTGTGTCTTCAGATTCTACTCTCTTAGCCACTGTGTAGTAATGCTCAATCCTCCCCAGAATGTGAAAGAACTTCCAGCTAAGATCCTATCCCAGGGTAGCCAAAAGAGTTAGAGGTCAGAAATTATGTCTTAGATATCTATGTGTCCTAGGTACCTAGGACCGCCTGACATATGACAGGAGGTCAACATTTTTGTCAAACTGCTCAACTGTGCAATGGAACATAACCTCTCACATGGAATTAAATGAATTCTCTGCGTGTGGTGTCCTGCTTCTACTTGTAGAACAATTAGAGGGTTTTGGAGTCAGAGAGATCTTAGGATTCTGATTTTGCCATTTGGTAACTTTGTGGCTTTGGACAAAGTCATTTAACTCCTCTGAGTCTTGAATCTCTAATCTGGAAAATATAAAAAATAGGTAAAAATCATACCAGATTTTTGGCATTGTTATTCAGATGGAATGAAATAAAATTGCCATGTTAGACAAATAGTAAATACTCAATAAATGATAATTCTATTGTTCTCTCATCCTTTCTTACAAATAAGCCTTTGTGAGAGGTCAACTGTATATTGGTTCCCAACTTAAAATAAGTAAAGCAATAATTGCAATTCAAAGTGGAGTAATGGAAATAACAATGAATTGGGAACTGGGAAATCTGGCTGTTGGCTTTTATTGTCCTCTTTCTACTGAGCAGCTATGCAACTTTGGTCAAGTCACTTTACTTGTCTGGGCTTGTAATTCCATACTTCAAAATAGAGTCAATCTCTGAAGTCTCTAGGATCCTTTTAATCTACATGTCTGAGACTTTAAGAGATTATGTTGAGGAAGTATTACCTTTGGCTTGATCATTTCAAGAAGATTATATGGGTAATTGGAAAGCATATTCATTAACTCATTTTAAAGTTACATGTCATTCATTTATTTGAAACTTTATGAAGCATAGTTCCTGCAAAAACCATAGAAAATTGGTTAAAAGCTGCAAGACTCAAACCTACCACCTAGCGGCAAAGAAAAGAAGATTCAGATTGAAGAGAGAAAATGTCCTGCCATTACATGTGGCGGGTGGGTGTCCTCAGCGATCCTTCATTTCACATTTGTCCTTTCCCCTCACTACTCAGGATAGTTTTGTGTACACAGAAATTCAGTACCTCCTGACTTAATAGTTTGTTCATTTGACAGTTCTCTTTAGCAGGTGAAATATGGTGGACTTCTGAGAATTGTGGAATAATCATTGGTGTTAGGTTTGGGGAGTAAAGGTGCCTTCCTACTTGTACATTTCAAACCAGTTCTACCCAAGAGGCCCACCTAGTCCATCTCTGGATGGACTAGTCCATATCTATCTCTGGATAAAGAGGGCACTCCACAAGTGCCTGGTTGAGAGACTAGGGCCTCTACTTTGAAAAGAAATCAATACACCAATGGAATTCTTGCCTGTCAAGTATTTAGTGACTTTGTTTTACCTACTACAGTAATTAAGATTAAGTCTTCACATTTAAATTCAAATATCTAAAAGCAGGAATGCACCGTCCTTAAACTTAAACCCCAAATGTGAGGAAGAGGCCAGAACCCCAGGGTACTAAAGAGGGATCTATTTTCCATTTATTCTTCACTCCCCCTGCCCCCCCTTTCTCTTTTCGTTCCATTTTCTTTTTTCTTTCCCTCCCAAATAGCAGTTAGGCAATTAAGCTCAGAATAATGTTTAAAAGGGTACAGGTAGTGCCCTACGTACGCAGGGTGATTTAATTACCCAGGTTTTCACCTGAAAATCCCCTTCGTCACTGAAAATATTTCTCGAGTCTTTCCTGAAATACGGAATTACGCCATTTTCCAACACTCTTTAAGTATAGTTAACCTAGCCTTCTTTTGAAATGCCATTCTCACTTTAGCACAATTTTCTTAAATCTCTTACTACACAAACAGGAGGGGTTCCAAATATGCCACCTTGAGAATTTCGCCTATGATCAGCCTTGTTGGTAGAAACCTCGTAGTTTTCATTTAAAACGCCTGATTCAATTTTTACTGGGTTTACGGACGTTGACCAAGTCTTCCCATTACTTAATAAACTACAGCCTACCCGGTTTTTAAAACTTTGGGGCTTAGTGCCTCCACGGGCATCCGGATATTGAATTCTGCTTCTTAAACAGTCTCCCGAAAGCAGCAGGTTCGGCTGAGTTCAGAGAAGCGGTTACCACGGAACTCGCAACAGTTGGTGGGGGGCGATACGTAGGATAGAAGTGATAAATGGGGCTAGTTTAAGACACAAAAAGTCCCGGGAAGGGAGAGAAAGGGGCAGCGGTGGCCTTGGGACACAGTGTGAAGGCGGCGCAGGATCGGGGGGTCCAGGCGAGCTCCTGCCCCGCGAAGGCGGCGGCCGCGGACGAGAAACGTGGAGACCGCGGTTGACCGTCCTCTCGACGCCGAGCGCGGGGCCGGCGCACGCCCAGGCAACCCCCGGGACCACGCCGGGGCCACCGCGAGGTGAGGCCGGCCCTGCCCCCGCGCCGCCCCCGGCGGGAGGTGCGACGCCCAGGCCGCGGGTGCGTGCGCGGCCCCGGGCGACGCGGCTGGGCGTGCGCGGGGCCGCGGAGGAGGGAGGGCCGGGCGGGCGGCAGAAGATGGCGAGGGTGTGTAGGCGGCAGCAATGCTCCGTTGAGAGACGCGGCTTTCGGCAAGAACTGGACTCGTGGCGCCACAAGCTCATTCACTGTGTAGGTGAGACCCTCCCCCGGCCGCTTCCGGCCCTCGGGCCGCCCCGCCACCGCCTGCCCCGGACAAGGGAGGGAGCCGGGGCAGAGGCAATTGCTGCTCCGGCCCGCCCGCCCTCTTTGGCTCGGGCGTCCCCCTCCCCCACCCCCCGGAGTGCGGGCGCGCGCAGCCTCCGGGCGGGCTCTCCCCGGTCAGGCCTGAGCACGCGCGTCGGCCCCTCCCCTCCGCGCGCCTTCCCCGGGGCGGGCTCTCGGGCGGGAGCGCGTGCCCCTTCCTTCCCCCGCTTTTCCACCCCCCACCAGCCCGGCGGCCTGGCGTCGCCGCCGGCTTATTGTGGAGACTCGCCCCGCGGTGCTGCCACTTGACCGGGGGCGCCGCCTCCGGTTCCGGGGAGCTGGGGGCGGGAGTGGGGGGACCTGCTCAGCCCCTTCTGCCCGGAGTCTTCCCCCTCCCGCGCCTCCCCTCCCCCACGCGCGGCTACGCGCGCCCCAATCCCCGCGTGCACGCGCGGCGGCGGGCGGGCGGACGCCCGGCGCTCGGGCGTGTGCGAGGCGTGAGGTGGAGATGGGGGCGGAGGGAGCCGGAGCTGTCACAGGCCCCGGGTCCGCCTGACCGAGCCAAGTAGGGTGTCATGGCCGCGGGGGGCAGCGGCTGCACTTCCTCTGCTGGCGGCGGCAGCGGCGGCCGGGGAGTTAATCCTCGACGCTTGGGTCGGTGTGTGCGTATTTGTGTTCGGTGTGTGCGCGGCGGGGAGGATGGGGGTGGAACTGGGTCCGACCGAGAAACCGGAGCGGGGGGGGTGTCCCTCTTGTCCCCTCTCGGGGGATTTGTCGGAGCCGCCGCCTCGCCGAGAGCCTCGACCCCCTCGCCCCCAATCCTCCCAGCCTACGGGGCCTCGGGTGGCTTTTTCCCCACGGGCAGAAGGGAGTATGGACCGGGGCGCCCCGGGAGGGGCCGGGTGGCCGAGCTGCGCCTCTCACACTGTGTGTTTTGTCTGTTTTTCTCTCCCAAGGTCCCGTTTCCCTCTGTGCGGCGGCCGGCGGGACCATAAGGGCTTAACTCATATATTTAACCCCCCTCCAAAAAGTAAGTGGCCCGTGTGGTGTCTCCGCTCCGCCCGCCGCCCCCTAGCCCCAGTCCATCCTTGTGTCTGACTCTCCTGTCCTCCAGCATTGTTATTTCCCCATCTTTGCCTCGGTGCTGCTGCTCTGTGGGGAAATGCTTTCTCCTGCTCTTCTGTCCCCCAGGCCCAGTCTTGGGGAGGCGTAGAATTCCAGCTCCTTTCCCCCTTCCGTCCGCCCCCCCCCCCCCCCCCCGGTAGGGAATATTCTTGGGAACCAGGTCTTCCCCAGCAGAATCTAGGAGATTCTATCCGTACGCTTGGGCCCCTCATCCCCTCCTTCCCGACAGGGTTTCGTTGGAAGGAATTATGCAAATCCTGCTTTCTGGTGTCCATTCAGCGGCAATTTCATGCGGTGAGAAGTTCTCTTTGTTGTGCGAGGGGGAGAACAGACACTGATTTAATAGACATATCTGTTGGGGGGAAGGGTGGAGGGGGTGTGGAGAGGCTCAGTTTGGAAGAATTACAGCACTTGGTTAGCTCTGTGTCTTTGTGTTTGAGCTTTCTGGCTTGACAGGAGGGTATGCCCTTTACAATGTCCCACAAGAGATGTCTTCTGTAATAGATTAAAAAGCAAAACTGAAACTTTAAGTAAGTGAAACATAAGGTAACCTTTACCTAGAGAATATAAGCCTTTCCATTTTTGCAGTGTTTCATTTTGAAAATATATGTGAATTTTGTTAAGGATTAAGACTGTAACATCAAAATTAACATAGACAACAATGCTTTAAGGTATCTGGTATCATTTTGGTTGTCCACAGGTTAAAAGTACATTTTTAAAACATGCTTGTGTAAGTAATAAAGGCATGGAACAATTTTTGGTGTAAGTTGACTTGTGGATAAATTTTAAAATTTCCTTCCTGCCAATCCAAGCCTAGCTCTGCCTTCCAGAAAGCCTTTTGGCTATCAGTTATCATTTACTCTGTCTCGGCTTGTATTTTTTTCAAATCTACCCTACATTTGCTAAAATGTTACATCAGATTACGCTCTTTTTGAATTATTAGTTGTAACCATCATATGAAAGAGTTTATGAAGGTGTGCAGGTTTTGCACAGTGTGAAATTAATGAGTTTTCAGAATAAAGACTATAAAATCCTGAAATTTGAAGAATTTTTAGTTCTTGTATTTGGTTCACTTTTTTTTTGAGATTGGTTTTTTTGGTAGGGCCTTTTAATTTTTAAAAGGTTTTGAAATTGACTGTAACCCTGTAGGTTTGGAAAGTTGCTCTTACTTTAGTTCAGATGGTTTTAATGAGTTGTTTATCTTACTCTATTTCTGTTTGCTTTGAATCCTTGCCTTCTGCCTCAGGCCCCCTTTTTATCAGTGTTAGTAGTAACTTACTGCTGCTTGACAAGGTGGTGGTTTTTCCCCCCCTTTTCCCTTGATGACTAACAAAATTCTGTAAATAACTGAATTGAATATCAAATTTTGATTCGTTTTGTGAAGGGGGGTTTTAATCTGGTTATCAGTTTCTTTAGCGTACTTTTATCTCCAAATTTCAACTTTGAAGGTAGGAAAGTTCAGGAAATCTAGAGTGCAGATCAGTAATACATAGTTAATTGATAGTCTTGCAGCTAAAATCAATTTGGTTTCCTATTTTCTCTTTTGTTACATGTAATTTCTTTAAGAGGAAAGTTCTAAATAAATCAGTAGTGGTGTTAACTTTCTATACTTAAAAAGGCTGGTAATGATTCTGATAAAATGCAAAAGGCAACTATGTTTGTCCCTGGCAAACGTAATAATTCCTCATTTATTTTAATGAGATTGGTTCTGAACAGTTAACCTATTTGATTCTGTTGACTGATTATCTTAGTACTTTAGGGTCATTTGGTTTCTAAATGATATTTAATTTATAGCAGTCTTTGGGTTAAAAATGAATTCTCATTTATTTCCAAAATCTAATTCTATTTTGGGGGACTGTGTGGTGGGGTGCATCAGGATTGTGGAGGTGTTTGTGTTTCCATTATTATATTTTAGTTGAATTGGAGTCAGTAGCAGTTTCAGACAGTGATTGTGATCAAGATGGGTGTTTGGTACCCTGGTGATTATTGAGGTGTCCTCTGGGACTCTGGCGGTCCATATTCCAGGAAGATCGAGGTTCTCGATCTTGGTGTGATGTGACCTATTGCTTGGCTGCTCCTCATCCTTGCTGTATTCTCAAAAAGGTCTTCCCAATGTAGGGAAAGTTGTGTTGATTTCAGCTTACTCAACTTGGCTGAAAAAAGGAGAGCACAGTAAGTCTTTTTGACTTAACACAGAGTTATTTCAAATTGCCTTGATTCCCTCCAATGTGCTTGTAGCCAGAGCACTTCTAGGAAGCCTCTGAATAATGCCTTTTTTTTTTTTTTTCCCTGCCTTATGGCTATACTGGATGGCCTGTAATTTCTTTCAGTGAGGATTAGGTGTTCAGTGTCTGTGGAGACTTGCCACTTCAGAGCATCCATCTAATTATTTAGCTACTTGTATTAGTGTTGTTTTTAGAAAGGAAAGGCAGTTAGGTAAGTACCTCATTTAAATTTGTACCTGGCATTGTGGGCAGACAAAATCTATGCTAACCTTCAAGAACTTTTAGTACTTAGAGAAGATACAGTGTATTCATTTATAGTACAAGGCAAAATGTGCCATGCTGTGGTGCAAGCAAGTGCTAGGCATGTTTAGAAGTGAAAGAAATCCCTTGAAATGATGTAGGAAGGCTTCATGAACAAGGAGGCAGATTTTTGCTTCATTTTGATGAATACGTAAGAGGCATTCCTGTCATGAGAACAAATAAGCAAAAGTGGCAAAGGACAAGAATGAGTTGAAACTGTTTAAACTGCAGACCATGATTTCTTGTAGGAGATGGATAGATGATAGGTTTGCAAAGATAGGCTGTAGGATTTTCTTTTCTTTTGTCTTTTCTTTCTTTCTTTCTTTTTTTTTTTTTTTTTAAGATTTTATTTATTTATTTGGCAGGCAGAGATCACAAGTAGAGAGACAGGCAGAGAGAGAGAGGGATAAGCAGGCTTCCCACCATCGGAGAGCCTGATGCAGTGCTCGACCCCAGGACTCTGACCTGAGCCGAAGGCAGAGGCTTAACCCACTGAGCCACCCAGGCTGTAGGACTTTCTAACACAGGTTGAAAAGTGGGGTCTCTTTGTTAGCCACATTGGGGTTTCCAGTGCATTTCTCTCCTTAGGAGAGGAATGTTTCCTTTATTTGACAATTTCATTGTGGAGCTCAACAATGACACATACTGTTTTTCACATAATCTTGACAGGAATGATGTTGTTATCCAAAAACAGTATCTCTTTTAGGTAAACTCACTGGAGGCTATACTATATTCCATTGCACAAAATGTATTTTTGGAATTGCCTAAAATCAGTGTCATATGTATTCTTTGAACATCCTTAATATTGACAAATTTTCATCCTTAGAGGTCGCATTTGGTATTTGGAAACAGCTGGAAAGTATCTTTTGTGGCAAATAAAAGTATATGTTAAATAATGAGATTGGTTTTTTTCCTGTTTTGCAAACTGGCTAAGAAGCACAGCAAAGAGGTTTGATTTGTTTAGATACGCCTCAGAATCTCTTCTTTCTTTATGTCTACCCATCTGCTGTATGGAATCTGGATATTGGGTAGATGTGAATAAACAAAGCTGTTGTTTTTGTAGTTTCAGGTTAAAAAGTTACCACCGTCACTACCCTCTAAATTACTCTGCGAACATATAAAAAATTCATTTACTGCTCCTTACAGTTGCGCATTGTTTTGGGGATAATTCTAATGTGAACTTTTAGTTCATTTTATTGTCTCTTGCATGCAGGAAGTATCCCAAGTACAGTGATCGATACCCTGAAGTTTTTCTCTTCTCAATTGAAATACAGTTTACATGCCATAAAATTCACCCTTTTAAAATATACAATTCAGTGATTTTAGTTTATTTGCTATATTGTTCAAACATCACTGTATAATTCCAGAACACTTTCATTGCCGGAAAAAGAAACCCCAAACCCGTTAGCAGTCATTTCCCATTCCGTCTGTGCCCGGACATTGGCATCCCCAGTCTTTCTGTTTCTGTGGATTTGTCAACCTTCAGTATTTCATATAGATGTAATCATACAATACATCGTCTTTTGTGTCTGCCTTCTTAGCATGTTTTCAAGATTCATCCATGTTGTAGCATTTATCAGCACTTAGTGTTTTCATGGCTAAATAATACTGTATTGTATAGACATACTATGTTTTGTTTATCCATTAGTTGATGGGCATTTGGATTGTTTCCCTTTTTGCCTGTTGGGATTACGTTGCTATGAACATTTGTTTTCACTTTTCTTGGATACATATACCTAAGAAAAATTGCTGGGTCACATGATAACTTTTAACTTTTTGAGGAAATGTTAAACTGTTTTCCAAAGCAGCTGCAGTATTTTATATTCCCACCAGCAATGAATGAGGATTCCGTTTTCTCCACTCCCTTGCCAATATTTGTTATTGTCGACGTCTTTTTGATGGTAGCTGTTTTACTGGGTAGGTCTGAAGTGGTATCTCATTGTGGTTTTTATTTTCATTTCCCTAATGACCAGTGATGTTGAGCACTTTTTCACATGCTTTTTGGGGATTTGTGTATCTTCTTTGGAGAAATGTGTATTCAGATCCCTAACTAATTTTAAAATTGAGTTGTTTGTTTGTTTTTAAAGATTATTTATTTATTTGATAGAGATTACAGGTAGGCAGAGAGGCAGGCAGAGAGAGAGGGAGAAGCAGGTTTCCTACTGAGCAGAGAGCCTGATGTGGGGCTCAATCCCAGGACCCTGAGATTATGACCTGAGCCGAAGGCAGAGGCTTCAACCTACTGAGCCACCCAGGCACCCCTGAGTTACTTGTTTTTTTATTGTTGAGATGTGAGAGTATATTCTGGTCACTACACCCACATCAGTGTATGATTTACAAATATTTTTCTTAAACTCTCAATTTAAAAATAATTACAGAC